CTTTTCTCCGTCAGTAATTGCATCAATCCCATATTGCTTCTTATTTCTTCGATACAAAAAGAAATAAAAATTCCTCTTGTTACTAGGTATTCTATAAAGTGTTATCTCATTCTGACATAGCCATTCTGACACGTAGATATTTTTTTCTTGCTAAAAGCTACTACTAATATCTACTGCTAAAGTTTTTTTCCCATATCTAAATCTTACGATAGTTTTCTGGTATAATCTTTCTATCTTTTCTGAAATATTCGTGAATTCTTATTGTAGCTCTTCGAATTTGTATCCATATCTAGATTTCTATATCCTACAATCCTTAAAATACAGCTAGATACTTTTAAACATTTTCATGTCTCCCTCAATTAATTTACCATAATTAATCCCTTCCTTTCTTAATCTTTTCACCTTCATTCAGACATTCTATTCCTACAAAAATACAATTTTCTTTCTACGAATTTAAATTTAGTCTACCTTACTAACCTACCTGCCTAGTCCTTAATCTATTTCCTTTTTAAGTATTTCTGAAGTATCTTATTATATATAGTCGAATTCTTTCTAATCTTTTCTTCAGCTTTAAGTGCTTTTCTTTCTGTCTCTATTCTCACTCGTTTGTCCTTCTATCTTTTCCCTAATTATATATTCTTCTAGTTCAGTCCTAATGACTATTTTCTACAGTTATTGTAATATCTTTTACTGTATCAAGTTCCCTCTACACTCCCATTTCTGTCCCTCTTTTCTTTTAGGTTCTTCTTAATATCCCAATCTTTTTTTGCTTTTTGCTCATGTTCTTTAGAAGTGGTACTTCTGTAACGTTCTTCTATTGATATTGTATTTCACCTTTCTTGAACTTCTTTTGCCCAAATTCTATTGCCCTCTTCGAATAGCTTCTATCTCCCCTACGTTTTTTCAAGACATTCTTCAGTAACACCCGTGTTATAGTAAAATACAAAACTTGATGAAATTGGCTGTTCGATAATGGAATTAATCTTTTTTTTTTTTCAAATCCATTTTAGCTAGACACGATCATTGAAAATGGTCACTAGGTGAAAGGTTTACTTTTTCGATAAAGCAACTTTTAATTTCTCTAATCGGTTTCTTTACAACGATAAAAGCAGTGACTCATTCACATATTTTTGAGAACAGTGTAATGTCATAATATTGTATATTGTATTTGTTGAATGTATGTTCGCATGCATGTGTTTGCACACATATGCTAATACGTACATAAAAAAAATTCACATTTACACATATATCTATTTAAATATACGCTTCACAAACATAAATCCATACATATACATGTGCAAACATACTATTCCACAATCCACATTCCCATTCAACATATAATTGCATATGATATGATATGATAATCCTTATGAACAGTGAGAATAAATCCATATATGCATGTGCATTCGTGCAACACACACGTATGCATACAAGTTCACACACATGAGCACGTCAAATTTTTTGTGTCAGTTTATGATTTAAGCCAATAGCATACGACACTATTTTTTCTACTGGATTGCTTACGAGAACCAATCAAGATTTGGCCTTAAGTTATCTGATCTAAAACTCTGCATCTTTATTGGCTCTCGCAAGCAATCCAGTAGGAAAAATAGTATCGTGTGCCGTTGACTTTATACCGTACAATACTAACAGTGGTTTTAAAACTAAGCATTCGTTGGTTAAAAATAGAAGAAATAGTAGTGTACCGAAGCATTATTATTTTTATACTATTTTATATATTATTATATGTATTTCTTATAGTATAAATAGTTTGAAATATTATAATTATAAGTTATAACAACCACAAATTAAAGCTAACTTTACATATCAAATCTTTTGTATAGAAACGCGTGTACTTAGCGCTTATTTTTTACTATTTTTAAAAGGCTAATTTAATACGGCTTAAATATTGTATACTTGTAGATTTTAATTTTATCAGAACTAACGAGATATTATTAATGTTTCTCTTCTGTCCACTATAGAATGTTATTTATAAAAATCTTTTGACTTAATTAAATGAAACTTCGGCACGCTAAGTTTTTGTGCTTTACTTTGATTTTAACTTTTCCGTCTTAGCATTTGCGCGAAATCACAGTAAAGTTAGAAAAGTAAAATAAAATGTTATTAATTAAATGTATGTAATATTTGTCAATGCATGTTTCTTAAGTCTCAGGTTTATCTCAATACTGCAAACTCTCGTTATTCCAGTCGTTTTTTACATAAAGATGTGCCGGATTACTGAGAGTGCATAAATATTTTATAGTAATTTATCAGAGTTTTAGTAGTTCTTTATTCTATTTACGGTGAATAGAATATATATATAATTGATATACATATATACACAATAAAAGTCATTTAATGCCGCTTACAGGTGGTTGATGTTCCGCCACTCAGGCGTCATCCATTTCGCTCGTTAAAATTTAAAAAAAAATTAGTCACGACAAGCGGACGGATTATTGAAAGGCCGGATTAGCGGGAGTCTACTGTAATAGTTGGTTAATTAGATCGATTTTATATCTGTTTTTGAATAATTTATTTTTTACTGGTGATAACATTTTTAGATATAAATATATTTATACATATATAATTTAATTTTTTAAGTTAGAAAACTTTCTTATATACTTTAATGCTTCGGATATAAAATTTTTAACGGCGCCAAACCTTTTACGTTAGACCTTATGTTTTTTTATTTTGATAATATCTTTCATTAGGTGCTTCTTGTTCATTTCCTCTTGGTGAAGTTTTCATTTCATTGGTATATATTTGTTCACATTTGTTCTTCAAGAATTTCTTATGGAATACTCGTATGTCTCGGAATATCACATATTGCTTTTTCATAGAAACGAAGCAATATGCGATATTCAGAGATATATTTGTTTTCGTGAAAAATTTTTTGAGTAGTTTTCTTTGCCAATGTGTTCAGAATGTTCCAAACGTCGAAAAACACATTTATTACAAAATGTCTGTATGTATGTACTCCAAAAATGTCTGCACTCTTTTGCAAAGTTTGAAATATCGGTCTGAATTTTTTAAATATTACTCGAGTATCATTAAAGGGGACGGTTGGTATTGAATTTGATATTAATCGGTGTAAGGATTATTTTTAACTTTTTAATTTTGTTAAAAATGTAAAAGTTCTAATAACTGCCAAGATTGAAATATCTGTCCAATTTTTTACTATTAATAACGTATTATTGAAGAATGATTGGTATTCAATTTGGTGATAAGGTTTTAGGGTGTAAAGATTTTAAAAAATAATTTTCTTTACCAAAAATGGTGTATTTTTACGAGACAAGTCGCACCGTCAATTATTGTGCTTTTTGCGGTTATCCGAGAATATGAACGACTTTCTCGGAAACTGAAATTGTTAGGCGGACATACGGGGGCAAGGAAGACACCAGAACTGATTTGTAACCCGTTCACTACATTAGAATACAAAAGAAAGATTTATACACCGGGCGTATGCTACGTCTGATGCTCTAACTGCATGCGCGGCGCGTGCACACGCGCATTTGCCCAATACTAGATAATCGTACATATTTTTCAGTTTCAAGCAAAATGTAAATCTTGCCAATTACGTACATTCTTTTACTGTTGAAGTTTTAGCTGTAGGTATATTCTATGATTTAATTTGTCGATTAATCTTTATTTCTGTTATTTTGTAGGTCCGTTCTTTATCTGTTCATTTTTTGGGGTTTATTCAGCTATTGTCGAATGAAAGTCACTTCAGTTTCCGATATATTTTCTGTAGTTTTAGTATTTCAATCTCACATTCTCTTATCTCAGTTTGGTGAGTAAAGTTTCTAAATTAACTTTCAATTTTATTACGGATATTTATTGAATCATGAATGTTAGCAGAATTTTTTATTTTTTCGAATATTTTTACCACAAAGTGTAATAGCTTAACTTGTACATTCAACTTCTGCATGTTTACCTCGCTCTCATCATAAAACACGAGATTATTTAAATATTACTTCACTTCTTTATTGCTTTTATTTTATTTGTTATGTCTATATTTGTAACCGTAAAATGTAAATGCATTAACAGTATCTGTAGTTGACATAAAACATAAAAAAGATATTTTAATTTAACATATGATTTGAAATTGTATTTCGTATTCGCTTTATATTTTGCATTACTGTATTCTCTCCGTGAATGAATATAATAAAATAATTGATTCTTCTTAGAACCAATTTGTGTGGTAAAGTTCGATCGTAGAGTTCAATAGACTTTCATTAGCCTCAAGTTTTTTCTCCATTTAATGTCCATTCTGCGCTATTTTGTTTGTGGTATCGCCGATACAATATGATGTAACATAATGACTCATACTTTACTTATAGCTTTTGTACTTGGTTTCTTCATGTGCTATCCTTTCCCATATTCTTGCCTGTCCGGTTATCAAGAAAATCTTTTTTTTCCCGATCCGGTTTTTATTCAAAATATTCTTTAGCACTGAAGAATCGTACATACAATAATAATCTATCGTTTTAAAATAAGAAACAGTAAAAATCGATATTAACCATTTAAATGAGAAAAAGAAAATATATATGTTTAAAATATTAGATATATTTCGCGCGTGTACATTTAAACTTAGTTTACACCGTGCACTTGATACGCATATTAAATAGTAACAAATATTAAATAACTAATAAATTGGTTTAGTCATTGGCTGATAAGTTCAAATGCACTATTTGGTACACGTATCAAGTGCACGATGTAAACCAGACACATAGAGTATCATATAATTTTATGTGCAGCAATCTTTAAAAGAAAATTGTATTTTATTTCTAAACGTAAGAACTTATTCTCATATTTATATAATATGTATAGTAAAACATATTTTTTATGTTTGCTGCAATTGTCAATATTTGAAGTCATGTTACGACGATTCAATCAATTTCAAGCCCCACCGAATCGCCATTACTTGATTTACGTTGACATAAGACTAGATTTTGTCGATATGTTACCGCATTCCATTTTATTGATGATACAGAATATCGAATTCGATTAAACTGTAGTGAGTTTCCGTTTAATGAAAAACAGCCGGCGCGATATACGGATCTCCTCTCCGATTTTACTCCGTGATGCCTTTATATGCGTCATGATCGAAGATATCAAACGCGATTAGATTTATATTACGCGCAACGTTGTATCCTTTCGTTTCATCTCTCAAAAGAAGTAAGATGTCATCTTTCTTTCCAATGTTCGAATTTCTCCTGCCGCATGATTTATACAATTGATTTAATTGCAAAATTTCTTCAATTACACGATAGTTTATTTGGTTTAACAGCAATATCTCCAAATAAATAGGTATGTTGATCCACTCGTCCTCTTATGCCTCCGTTCGATCATCTTTCTCATTCGGTCATGATATGTCTTAGTCTTCCTTCTCTCTTTCTTCTTCCTTTGATAGTTTCATTCTTGTCGCTCGTTCGCACGTTTACTCGCAAAACGACGAACACCTGGTGCGCGCACCTGAGTCCTTAAGGCCGTTCAACTCGTACAGCACGGGCGCGTGCTTCGTTCGTTCCTTTTCGTTCGGATCTGCTCGTATAAATATAACTATAATCACGTAAACCTACATTCAAAATTTCGATGAGCCGCTGCGCTTCAAGACTAAGGCGATAGATGGACCAACGAAAGGGAGGGAAAGAAAAATGAGAATGTATCGCGAGTGCACAAGCGAGACACGTAATTTTGTTGCATATACGATATATTGCGATAGAATTTTGTTTGAAAAAAAAAGTACGCGAAGTTCTATAAATTTCTTCTCTTTATTATGCAACGATATTTCGTAACAATGTAGGTGTTAAGAAAATGTGTGATTTGATAAAATTTAACGAGATCGATGTTTCAAATCAATAAACTTTTCGCGTGTAAATACTCACGTTGCAACAAAACCACGCACGATATGCATACGTGTATATTATATCACACGTCAAGAAGCAACACTAAAATCTTTTCGCCTGCGTGATTTCAAAGGACTTAAATTGAGTTCTGTGACTGCGCGTGTGTTCGTTCAGTTTATAGTAAATTTAATTCGAACGTCGAATATTTATCCAACGCACGTCGATCGAGTAAGGTAGTGTCCCACGACGTCGCGGACGAATAAGTGGATACATAGATGGATGGACGAAGGGATTCTTACGCCAGTGGGTTGTGTCGATTCATGTTGTCAGACCGGATTCCTGACTGCCAAGGTCACTTCGCCATCGCAGCACTACCACCTGCAGCATGAATAATCGTACTATATCGTCTTCGTTCTTCTGTTTCACGTTTACTCTCTTTTTTTTTCTCGTTCAGGTGCCCCCTAATTAGTTTTGTTAATATTTTTATTCTATAAAATCTAAGCTCGAACAAGCAACGCGAAACACTCATAATATTCTGATGACAGACAATGCTGATGCAGCTACATATAGATATAGCAAATAACCATCAATGAATAAATGTAAAATTGTTGTGTAGATAATTTTAATATCTATATAATATTTTGAGTATAATAATCGACGTACCTTACGCGCACGTTAGTCGCGTAATTTTAACGATGAGATTTAACTGACGAAACGTTCGTCGTGTATTGAGACCTCTAACTATTCAATTATGATTACAATTAAAAAAATTTATACAATTAGTCGACATTTCGACTCCAAGTCATCTTCAGCACAATAAATATTTAGGCCTGGTTTTTCATTTTCTGGTCAACTGCCAACCAGAAGTTAGCCAACTCTCTGTCTTTTGTTAGATATATAATATAGAAGTAGAAGGAGAGTCGACTAACCTCTGGTTAACAGTTAACCAGAAAATAAAAACCTGGGCTTTAGTCTCGCAATGTTATTTACGCCAAACAGCGAGTGCTTTTAGGTTGTTCGAAAAGCAGGAGACAAGCTGATGCGAGTCTTTTGACCAAGCAATCTGCGGTGTCAATTCGTGTGACATCATATAATTATAAAGATTGACGATTTGTAAACATCTCTCTTGTATCGTGATAAGAATGATTTGATGGGGCGTGATTGAGCTTCTATACGGTTTGACTTGGCATAGAGACACGGCGTGGCATGGCACAGCATAGTGTGGTATAGCGGTGTGGCGCGGTGTGGCGCGGCGCGGCGCGGCACGGCGGGGCGGGGCGGGCCAGCAAAACAAGCGAATAAAGCGTAATGGGGAAGTGAGTTCGTTCCTATTCGAAACTTTCGCAGCAAACTCGGTAGCACGGCAGTCGAATACAATGGCCGTGCAGAACTTTCCGCGAAACTAAACAAGTTTATTTAACTTACCACCCTGCACCCCTGTAACACCCATCTGGGGGTAGCACCCTGAGCCACCCTCCCGAACTACCCTCCTCCTTATACAGTCAGACTCGAATTCCCCACTGCGTCTCTTCCTCTTCTCCTCCATCTCCGACGTTTCCTTCGTCTCTCGCTCTCTTCTCTTCTCTCATCCAACTCGTACGGTCCCGCCCATCTACCTGCAATAACGGCAAGTTTTCCGAAAGTTTCCGACAGATTAACGACTATTGGAATTGTTGAAGTTATGGGAGAAGGAACGAGGTAGACAGAGAAGAAAAGGCGGAGAAATGAGAAGCAGCGGGTATGACGGAAGGGGTAGTGGTACGGCAGTAGGGGGTTGAATACCGGAGTTTCCATCGATGTTACCGTGCTGCTTCTATTGGCGGTCAGAAGGAGGGGGCGAGGAATGGCACGGGGTATGATATAGCGCAGTCAATATCCGAGAAGATTGGATCCGATCTTTGAAGAGATGACCGTATCGTCGCGCCATATCACTTCTCTTTGCCACATCTTGAGCAGTTGACTGACCATAACATATGTTGGCATAAAGCTAGAGCTAAAGCCGGGCTTTTGTTAAACGAAAACCGATCAGAATTAACAGTTAACATGAGAAATCTTCCCAGACGTCGTTTGCACTAAATTGCATCTCTTAGAGCTGCAGAATTAGCATCCATTGTCTTACTAATCTGCGAAACTGCGTCCATCAGGACTTAATGCGAATTTACGCACGCGCTCGCACATGTGTATTGACATGGTCTACTTACGCTTTCTCACTCCTAACTGCGAATCACGCTCCAATAATCTTGCAAATACTAGAACGATCACAACGATGCTGGCGATCGTGAAACATCTATCGACGCGATTATTCATACACGCAGTACGATACATAATGTGCAATTACTAATGATTACGCAATTCCTAGACAGAGATCCTACACGGAGAGAATTTATTCTGAAAATCATGTAAACGTGGGACAACGTGGCATTTCGAAGAATTGTATAACAGTTATGTAAATTTTACCATACATTTTACTAGTAATTATTTGTTCGTATACATTTTTCTAGTAAAATGTATGGGAAAATTTCAAAAACTCATAAAATTTTTCAAAATACCACGTTGTACCACGATTACATGATTTTCAGGGTAAATTGTAAAAGAAAATTCTCTCCGTGTACACATTAATTAAAAGCATAAGTGAGTAAATTTTATTTGCAAGCGGCAACTCATTGTGTGGCATATCAGTAATTAGACTAAATATTTTTTATTTTAAGCCCATCTATTAAATGATACTTTTGAAAAGATATACTCGAAAAAGTATATGTCATTTATTAAGTGCTAAACTTATATACAATATGCTTATATGACACAGAGTTAATGATTGTATTATTTATTAGATACTTATCGCGAGAAAATTTATTTGTGGCATATAATGTTTATTTCATTGAAATCACAGTGTAAGGAGTGCAAAATTCTGTTGGTAACAGACATGGTGCTTTCAATGTATTCTAAACCAAACATTACGATGGTTGGTTTGAACTCCTAGATTACCGAACACACAAAGAAATTACATTTTCAGCGATCCTAATTTAAAACAGTGCTGATTTGTTTTTATTAAGCCATTATCCTCTGAATATTTGTTTTACCAAAAAAAAACTATTAACGGTAATTTCTGTTAAAAGATTTTTTAATATTTTTGAAATACATTGTGAGAATTAAAACTGAATATCACATTGTCGATAGTTGTTTTTTCTTGCGTGACATTGTGCTTACTCATCAGATCCTCACAGTTTCTCGCTCGGAAACAAATTACTATACTCGATCATCCCGCGTATTTACCTGGCTCCATGTGACTATTATCTATTCTTCAAACTAAAATTGTCTGAAAGCAAACCGTTGTAATGATATTAAAGACATCTAACATGCCATGATACACTTCCTGGAAATTTTCCCAGAAGAGTGTCAGAAAATGATTGCAGCTTTTAGATTGTGATAAAAGCGAATTGAAATTCTATTTCTTATTTATGTTGAATATAATTTATTTATGTTGAAAATAAATATATCGGTGTTATGTCGATACGTGTATTAAAATTCGTGGCTTATTTATCATTAATTGTTCTTTACGAACAATTAAGTTATTTATTAATAAGTGGCATGCGAAATAGAAACAAATATATATTTCGGAGCACGAATAGAAGAGTATAATTAATACTTTATAAGAACCTGGTATAAATGGTCATCGCAATTATATAAGAGGGTTTGCTTACCAGAATTGAAGAGCTGTTTAACAAAAATGTGCTTTGCAAACCTACGCTTCGCAAAAGCTTTGTGGGAGGTTTATTTGTGATTACATCTTTTGTACAAATTTAATATGAAAACATACAATTCGTATATTCTATTTTTAAAATCTTTCTATTTTCGACACAAATTTTAAACAATTATTACTATTTGGACGTTAAGTTTCACTTTGATCAATCAGATTTGTTTTTACAAATAAATTTAACATGATACTAATGGATAATGAATTAATTAACAACTAAAAAGTCAGTCCGTTAATCGGTCGTTCGTTAATAAAGAAGAAGCTGAGGGGAATATTTTCAATTAAAAATACTATTATTGAATTAGGAAATGCTATAAGTAATTTTAAATTTAGAAATCTCTTTTTAAGCTCTACATTGTTACATAACATTTACCCTCTTGTCACTTTTCTTGCAATTTAAAATTAAGGCATTACATTAACGTTTTTTTATCCTATTCTTAAAAGAAGTTTCGCATCGAACAGAAACGAATCAGCTGTAATACATGGAAATACTCCGTATATCTCATTAAAACTTGTCGCGAGACCATTACGTGTTTTTTCGGACGTAGAATAGCGGAAAGAAGGGAAGTACGGATGATATATGTTGCGCAGTTTATGTAGCCACTAAGTATATGGCGCGGAATGGAATACATATATACGCTGTATATCTCCTTTATGGCAACCATTAACATATTTTTTACTGTACGTATTACCATACAATAGCGACGCAAATATTATAACTTATGGCCGTAAATTAAATGCACGTAAAGGTAGCCGAAAAACACAATATATATACACTAACTAATGAGAACGAACAGAAGAAAAATTGGTTACCATAAACGCGCGGTATTATTCGTAATATTGAATATCTCGACGACTCATATGTATCTTGACGTTATTGGATGCTACAGCTATTGCAAAGGAAACTCTCAATTTATCTTATTTTCCCGTGCGTTTAAATAAATAGTGTTTCAAACAGGTTGCGCGGGAGCAATATAAAACAAATAATATGAAATATAAATATCGAGGAGAGGCAAAAGTCTTCATCGCCGTACAAATCCTTGATATATTTTATATTCCGCTTGCTGTTGATAATCTCGTTTGACTACTTTCACTCCTACGATCACAATGAAAATCCGCGCGTTGTGCGAAGTATAGTGTAGATTGCGAGAAGTTGAACGGGATATGGCCCTGGCCCTAATGCCGTTTCTTTTACGTCAACATATATTATATTAATGTCAAATATTTTTGCTTAACTTCTGGAAACATTAAAATTGTTCGTGGTAGTTGATCAATGTAATTCGTGATTACATTGCGCGCGTTTGCCGATTCTGAAAACAGATGCTCGAAATAATTTGAAATCTCCCAGTTTAGTTTACTTTATAACGTATTTTCATCAAGAATGACAGCAATAAATTAAATTTTGTTCGGGCACAAACGACTGTGCCCGATTTATTCGCCTCGATTACCGCAAATTGTATGTGATCGATCGAATAAGTAAACGAGTAGCAATGAACTTATTCGATGGAACGTGTAATTTAGTTTAGTTCGAAAAGTATTTCCACAAAAGCTCCATTTCAAGTCAATCGACAGTAAAATATCATAGATTTATTAATTTAATTTACTTACGTAACACTTGTATACATATCATGCACTACATCATCTTATAATTATAAATAGTTTACCTACTCGATGTCCCATTTTAAATAATGTATTTTAATATCTTTTCCCCATAACTCGTTAGGCAAAAATTCTTCAGACAGAAGTTGTATGGTTTGGAGTGGGACACTAAGTCATGAAATCAGTTTGACCTTGCATAACAATTCCAAGGTAAGGTTACTTTACGTAAAGGTCACATTGAGAAATTTTCACTGGAAATCTTCTTTTTTTTTTAAATGTAGGTTCTTTTAGCTGACGTCGAGACTTTTGAAACACTATAATCAAATTAAATTTTGTTTAGAATTTCTTACATTATGAGGCATTAAAGTTTGAGAACCGACATTAGCGTTACTTGACGTACACCGCGGGGAGATTGCTCGGTCGGATTTTGTACATCATGCAGTCCTGGAAAGGACTGATGTAATATAAGTACGTCGGGGTGCTTGTTCTATGTGAGTCCCCTTGCTTTTCACGTCGGGGTGTTTGTTTTACGTGAGTCCCTTCGCCTCTTACGTCGAGGTGCTTGTTCTACGTGAGTCCCCTTACCTCTCACGTAGAACAAGCATCTCTCGGGACGCTTGTTTCGGAAAGAACCATACAAGTTCGTTTGTACTAATTTGCAGATAATGTCAAGTTGTATTAATTTGCCAATTTTAATTCATGAAATAAAATACACCTATACGTACATTAGTCCTTTTCAGGGCTTACAATGTACAAAATCCGATCGAGCAACGGTGTACAACGGGTAACATTAATGCCGGCGATCCTCAAAGTTCAATGTCTCATAACTCTGCAAATTCTGAACGGAATTCAACTTAACTATAGTATTTTGAAAAGGTCTCGATGTCAGCTTTAAAAATCTATAATAAAAAATTGGGAATTTTATTTAAAAAATTCAATGTGACCTTTACGTAACTTTGGAATTATCACGCAAGGTCAAACTGACCTTATTACTTCGTGCCTATTACTTCCCCTTCCTCAATCATACAACTTTTATTTGAAAATTATTTGTCCATAACAGAAAAGTTATCAAAGTGCATTATTTAAAATGGGACACACGTATATGTTTCACACATCCATATTTTACCGCAATATTTTCTATAATGCTATTACATTTCCCGTAATTCTTATTCCTACTTTACTCAGTAAAAAATAAAGTAGACAAGCGAGAAGAGTTTCGAGTGTAGGCCTGAATAGCTCAGTAGGGAGAGTCCAGCAAGCAGATGGTTCCAGGTTTTAATTCTGGGGGTCAGTTCTGTATCTCGCAACATAGTGAAAATGTTAAAAGTGAGCGGCTTTGTTTCTTTTTATGGGGACAGTTAGACAAGGCTACTCACTTTTAGCATTTTCGCTATACTGTAAGATACAGAACTGACCGCCTGGTCTAGTCCTAGCCCGTTGTTTCTCGCCGAAAAATTAATAAGTGACGCATCTTAGTGCCTACTTTCTCTATTTAGTACCGTGAACTGGATAGGTGATTGCATGACAGCTGTTCTGTCTACTCTGATTTGTATGGGAGTTTTTATTTTTTGCCATGTAATTTCATAAGCCTTTTTTTCTTACCCCCATGTCATCTTATCTACCCCATTAAGAGAGATGGTAAAAAAATCGTATCTTGAAAAACTTGATATTTTATGAGAATGCGTAACTTTCATGTATTATATACCATATTTTCTGGTCAATAAAAGATGCACAATTATTACGCTTGTGGTTTAAACAAAAAATGCTGCAAATAAAAAAGGTATAGTAACAGTTCTAATTGTGCAACGTCTCTTCTCGCTTTGCCCTATGCGTCGAGATCTTGTAGTTGTATAATCTCAATACAGTTTGACGATTTTTTTTATCATCTGAATACGTAAGCTATTCGATTTAATTATAATTAATTGGAACAAGATGATGCGATCGAGAATGGTGGCATGGTATGTATTATGACTTGCCTAGCCAGCTTGGAACTCGATAACTTGCCTCGTAACCCAGATATTTACGCATCCTGCTTACAGACTTCCGTGAACGTGTCGTGTACAAT